CGCGCCGCGCAGGGAGATGCTGGAGGAGTTTGTCTCTCGCTTGTTTCTGCCTCGCCGTTGCCGTGTGCCGCTGTTGGGTTTCTTTCCAGTCGCTGCTGACGGTGTTTGTTTTGTACTGGGATGAAGGGTTTAATCATCCTCCCTGGTTAAACGCGGTGCTGCGGACGGGATCTCATATAAAAATCCTCCCGAGCTGTGATTTATGGTATGCAAAGCGGAGACCGAGTATAAATATTTAGATTCAGGTTGTAGCTGGTGTGTATTGTGGTGAGACTGATTTTAAAAAAATTAAAAATTTCTAAGAGGCTGATGCAACGCTCCAAACGGGAGGAAAGTAACTGTTATTTTTTTCTGTTCCTTTTCGGTGCGGTACTGGGGAAGTCTGTTAGGGGAATCGCTGGGGGAAGCAGCGCTCGATGCACATGGCAATGTAACTTGGTGTTCAGCCGTGGTGCAGGAGCAGAATCTGTGTGTACAGTGAACGGTGGGAGAGGAAAAATAGCAACGTTTGTCGTTTTTGTACTACTTTGTCAAAGAGATGTTATGTCCAAGTTAAGAATTCTATTGACATATTCTGGGTAAAAAAAAAAAGTAGTGGATCTGCGTTCTTCCTACTAGGATTGGTACTTGCTGGTGTATGTTGCTTGATATCTGGTAATGGGTTACTCAGTGGTCAAAAATGAATTTAAAAGTGCATAAAGTAAGGCTTCCCTCACTGGTCAGTGTAAGGCCCAAGGTTTCTTGTGATAATATTCCTCTGCTTTTCACTGCAGTCTGGATTCTGGTTTCTGTCCTGCAAGTGTGTTTTAAATATGTTATTGAAGCTCCCTCCCTTTCCATCAGAAAAAGGAGATGTTACTGGTACCTGCAATTTGAAGTCTCCTTACCTGAAAAATCACTGAGCACAAGAACTGTTATCTTTGTCATCCAAACGGACAAGGATGTCTTAATTTTTCAGTAAAATGAGAGTGAATTTTCCACTTCTGTGTATTGTCATCTCAGAAAAGGAAAATGGGTATAGAGTGGATTTTAAATGGAAAATTTACGGGGGGGGGGGGGAAATCTAATTAAAGTCTTTGTACATAATTTGTCTTTTGTGGGACTAGAAGTTCTCCAATTTACTGTGCTTTGTTTAATTTACCTGAAGTTTTATTATTACCAATCAAGTTGCGCCATGAATCTGAAGCTGCTTTATACTTTGTTCTCTCAGTTATTTTGGTATAACAAAGCAGCTTATGCTTTAACCCCTCAGTTAAGTTTATACTTTCCCTAAACTTATAAAGGCCCTACATGCTGTAGTAAGATAGTAGTAAAAATTTACATGTAGAAATTGATAATTGATCATGTAATTATTCAGCAGCTTAATATGCACACAATTACACATATTTAAAGAGGTCTCATCTCAAAACTTAATCAGCATTTTATAAAGGACTTAATGTCAGTTATTGCCTTTGTTCTAGAGAGCTGAGGATTTGTTTTGCTTTCTTTTACGTTCAGCATTTTCTTTTTATAGCTTAGGTACCTCTATTGTTTTGCCAGGGCAGAATGTACAACTTTGCATAAGTAGAACTGAAAAAGATGCTTTTTAATTCAACTTTTTAAGCAGTTTAAATTAATAGGTGCAAAATACCACAAGTATCCAAACAAATCCTTCTTGGAAGGGCAGAAGAAACCCAGATGGAAATAAATTTGCAAGTGTTTTCTTGCTGTCCTTTCCCAAGATTTCTCAGGACTGTATCCCATCCTCTGTGTCTCAGAGGAGTGTGGTTCTCAGGAGTGAAAAAATGGGCCAAATAACTCTCCTGGATCCAAACAGGCCAACACTCAAATGTGCCACTTCTCACAACTCCCTTTGAGAAAAAGGTCTCCATAACTATGATGGTTTAAAATCAGATGAAGCTGTAGGAAGTTCAGTTGCCAGTTCTGTGAATGTTAAAGTAATATTGATAGAGTTTTGAGGGAAAATTCTACTTTGTGTGTTTATTGGGTTGGGTGGGATATTTTGTGAGTTTTGGGGGTTTGTTTCTTTAATTATTCTTAGCAGCTACTGAGTTCTCTGAGTTATCTCAGACAGGGTTTCTCCTTTTCTTTCTGGAATTTTTACTTATGTCAAACGGAACTTTTGCCTCTGTTACAGGTATGAACAATGACCATAGTCAACAAGCCAAAATCTTCAAATTCTAAAAAATCTTCCTCAAGGCGATCTGACAAATCTATGAAACCCCGGACCAAAAAAATGACGTCGCGCACGGCGAGCTTGGGCCGGGTTCCTCCTGCAGAAGATTCCAGCAAAGTCTCAGTGGACAAAGGCCCTGGAGGGCATATTTATTGTAGATCATCTCAAAAATCTAAGCGTTTTGCCCAAAGAGATCTAGGTAAGTGTCTTAGTCCTCCTTCCCTTTCTTAAAAGCAAAACAAAAGTAGGAGATGCAGTTCTTAGTTCACTGCTATAAATTGGACTGCCATGGCTAATAAAAGACTTCAATTTTTGTGCATCTCCTGAGGCAACTGAAGGGACAGATGTTGCAAAACTTTAGTTTATCTATTTACAATCTATTTATAGATTATTTTCGATCTATTTGCAATCAAATAAGGGGAACCTTTCACAACTCACATACTTAGCCAGGCGTTTTCTGATATGTAGAGAAAAGTACATTTTTACCGTGGCTATTCATGGTCTCCATGATTCACAAGTCTCTGAAGGATAACTCTGCTCAGGAAGAGAGCTGGTATCTAACTCTGTGCTACTTGCTTGGTTTTCTGTCTTGGTTCTTCTTGCTGTAGAATTACAAGTGTAAGTTTGTGGTTTAAGTTACAATAATTTCATTGGTAAACAGGTTAAAGGCTATAGATGTAAAGAAACCTAGTTCTAAAATGAGTGGTAGTTGGTCTTGCATAAGAGGAGTTCAAGCAGATGAATAAACTACGATCCAAAACAGTGTGTTGACTAGCAAATTGAAAAGGCAGCGTTCAAGTTGTGCATCATGTGTTGTTGTGTTTTGGAGCAGAGCTGATTCTTCAGGCTGCTCCTGCAGAATGCTACTTTTTAAATACCCTTTTGAAAACAAACCCAATACAACTCTTCTAAAATCCAAATTTCTTGCAGTTGTTAATGACGGAATTGCTCCGCCACAAAGAATTCTTTTTCCACCTGAGAAAATCTGTATGGATTGGCAGCAGGCACTAAGTGTTGGAGTTGGGCTGCAGAACCTCGGCAACACATGCTTCCTGAATTCTACTCTCCAGTGCTTGACCTACACACCCCCTCTTGCCAATTACATGCTCTCTCTCGAGCACACCAAGTCCTGTGAGTACTTTCTAATGTTATAAATCTATTGGACAGCTCTGAAGGTGAAAGAAAAGCAGTGATTCTGTGAAAGAAATTCTTAGTTGTCCTATTTTATCTGTAGAAGCTAGTTTTTAACATGATCTTAAGGGTCTTTTCCAGCCTAAATGAGTCTATGATTCTGTTAACAGGAGGCTCAGAATAGCATATAAAGTGAATTTGTTAATTTAATGTGCCATGGTAAAAGTTAAAGAAAAGATCATTTCTTACTTCATGTGAATAATGAAGTACATTGTAAAGGAAGGCATTTGATGAACATTTGGCATTTGGGTTTCCTGCTGGTAGAAAGGTGATAAAATTTAGGCTGTTGGCATCAAAGCTTCTTAGTCTTCACAGCCTAGATACTGTAATGCTCTAACACTGCGATAAATTTTGTTCAGTGTTGACCCATTAAAAAGACCCAAGCACCCTAGAAAGCACTACAGGCTAATCTCATATGAACTCAAATCTGTGAAATGGAAATTTAGACTGATTTTGCTCTAAACGAAAATTTGTACTTTTCAAGCCTTTCAGTTTATGCTCTTTAAATTTTGTTTTTCTGCTTGATTTTATTTAAGCCTAGGAGCCTCATATCCATAAATGTGTTACTTTACTAAGGCACTTTTATGCTTTCTAGCCTGGTATCTTAGTATTTGTTCCTAGAAATTTGTGGTTTGCTCCTATATATAAACATGCTTTCAGTTAACAGTCATAGAATAGTTAGGGTTGGAAGGATCCTCAAAGATCATTTAGTTCCAACCCCTTGCCATGGGCAGGGACACCTCCTGCTGGGAGTGTTCAAGGCCAGGTTGGATGGGACTTTGAGCAGCCTGATCTATGATTTTATGAATAGATTTATAGAATATACAAGTCTGCATGATAAAGTGTCACAAAACTGTTGGGATATTGACACCTTAGGAGAAGAGGATGTAACATGGAGAGCTTAAAGATTATTGTTTTGGGGGTTTTGGTAGCAATGCATATTTGACTAGACTGGGATGTTTTCTTTTCTCCCTGTTCAGGTCATGTAGAAGGATTCTGTATGATGTGCACAATGGAAAGTCACATCAACAAGGTCCTGTGTTGCTCCAATGATGCCATCAAACCTACATCTGTTATCAATGGCCTTAAAAGTAAGTAATGTAGTTTTATTCTTTGATTTATTTTTTTTCATTTTTCAGAGAGTTATTTGCTGCATGTAAATAATGCATGTAAAATGTGATGCTTTAAAGAAGTGATGTTTTGGAAATGCATGTTTTCTTTCATTCTAGAAGAGATAAATGTGTGATGTCCTTATTTCCTAGGAATAGGAAAGCATTTCCATTTTGGCAGTCAAGAGGATGCACATGAATTCTTATGCTTCACTGTTGATGCTTTACAGAAAGCTTGCTTGAATGGAAGTAATAAGTAAGCATAAACAAATTGACTTTTAAATGTTCCCTAGCCCCTCTGACTCCTTTATTTACCATCATAAAGTAAAAGGTATGTCCTTGGTTCTCATAAAGAGAAAAACTGAGGGGGTTAACTCCATGCCTTCAGTATTCTGAGATGTGACTCTGAATTTATTTCCAGATTGGACAGATCTTCTCAAGCCACTACACTTATTTATCAAATATTTGGAGGATATCTCAGATCCCGAGGTACTTCTCAAAAAATTTACTGTCATTTGAACTGAGCTGTGTCTTTTTGTGTGTCTGTGGTGAAGGGGTTTGTAGTTTAATTAAGCAGTATGTATTAATAACTTTGATTTGCACAGTCCCCTTCACATGTTGTTAAGCTTTTGTGTTTTGATTGCAGTAAAGTGCTTGAATTGCAAAGCAGTGTCAGATACATATGAGCCATTTCTCGACATTACTGTGGATATAAAGGTAAGATGTTTTGCCAGGGTGGGCTGAGATTTGTAAAGACTTGTAGAGCTTTGTAAAATAAAGTAATTTTGCTTAAATACATGTGTTGTTGAAACAAAAGAGCTTGGTGGTGGATGGGAGTGGATTGGACTTTATTGTCCTATGGAAGCCATGGAAATGGTCTCCATGTTTGCATTGGGTTTAAGCTGGAAAAATAATTATTATATCTAGGCAAACAATGATAATATCAGACTTCTCAGTTACTCTACTTCAGTGTACATCTGTTGTTAGACTGATGGGCTTGATTGTTCTCATTATTGATGCCAAAGCATACCACAGCTGCTGTCTGTGGCACTGAAAACTTTATTTATTTTGAAGTAGAATCATTTCCAAATGTACTTTTTCTGCCTCCTCCTTCACAGTGTTCGCTGCCTCACAATAGGTCACTTAAATATGAACTGACAGGTTCTTTTGTAAAGTGTTAGTAAGTGATTAAAATTTTGCATTTCCTATGACTTACTGCTCTACTTTCTTCCTCATCCAGGCAGTTACATCTGTCACCAGAGCTCTAGAACAATATGTGAAACCAGAACAACTGGATGGTGAAAATAGCTACAAGTGTAGCAAGTAAGATGATTATTAATTACACCTTAATACCAGATAAGTGTCTAATGCAGTGCATGGCTTGGAGGATAAGTGATCTTTTGACTTTGTTCAGCAGTAAGATAGTGAGACATGGGTCACTGTTTCATTTAGCTTATACAGCTAATGCACTCTAGTCATTCAAAGCTTGGAAAATAATGCATTTCTTTCCAAGTGAGTAATTTTTGTGTTTCTCTTTGAATACTTGGAAATATGAGCATTCCTAGTAGTGTGTACACTGGGTCTTGTCAGCCTCCCTGAGTGGGAAGTTGCACACTGAAATGCTCAGGGCCAGAAGTTGAAAGGCATGTCTGATAAGTGGTGGTGAGCTGAAGCACAGGGCCGTGAACAGGGAGTTGGGGTGGGAAACAGCACCAGCTTCCTGAAGGTCACAGTGTCCCCTGTGAAAGACAGTGAGGTTGTGTCTTGGTGAGTGTGAGCAGACTCCTGGTAATGAACCTCTGCAGGGTCATGGAACAGTGTCTCACACAGTTCTTGCATTGTGACACCTGTGGATGACTCTTGTCTGAAATGAGCCACACAAGCCTAACCTGTGCTTAGTGAAAGCATCTGCACTTAGGGTGTTCCACATGCTGATCAATAATTAAAATGTTTCTGTGTATGCAAGAGCATTGGATATTTGTATAAGATATTTTGGCGAAACAAGTTTGTTATTCACATCAGAAGCAAATAGCCCCAGGCTCAGCTCTGTGACATTCCTGTCTGATCATTCTAAATGAAAAATGCAATACCTGCTTTTTGTTGGTGGAAAACTTCAGTTAATTAGTACATCTGAATGCAGAGATTGAATAAAGAACATCCAACAGGCTGTTGTAACAGTTTAATCCAGGCTCATTTTGCTCTGTGGATCCTACATAACAACATGTAATAGATGAAGAATTCTCATAGTTTACAGATTGTGACTGAGGAAGAGTAAGATAAGTGTAATAAGCACTTCACATCTATGTTACATGATCCTTCATTGATGTGGGGTGTGCTGAGTTCAGTCACATTAAACTAGAAGGTTCAGTCTTTTTGTGAGTCTAAAAAGAAAGGTTTGATGTATGTAAAGTATCTTTTCCATTGCTGGTAAACTATTATATTTTTCTTCAGTTTTTCCTAATTGATGTTTTCATTTTACTTTATACTATGAGTTTTTCCTGATAAAGTTTCCTGCCTGAAAACTTTGTCTCTAATTACAAGTTTTATAAACCACTTTTTCCTTATTCTGTGTGGGTCTCTTTTTTTATTCCTAGGCATTCTCTGTTGGTTTGGAATTCCCTGCCTGTATTTTGACATGAGCTTTTGAATAGGGGCTATTTAATTCTTTGTTTGTTAACTATCAACAGTATTTTTCTTGCCAGTGAAAAGTGCCATGTTTCAGTCTTTGTGCTAGTGGTTGCATTTCAGGACTTACTCTGTTCCTCCTGCTTATGAGTTTGCAGTGCAACAAGCAAAATGAACAATTTTTTGAAGGACTGCAGATCATTTCAGTGTCTTTCCAGGCAGCCTCAGTACATGAAAACTTATTGCTGACCAATATCTACCTCCTGCATAGTGACTCTTTCCTTTCAGTGGTTTTTTTTTTTTTCAGATTTTTTTACAGCCTTTCCTTTTTGTCATAAGAAAAATACATGTTCAGACATTCATTTGGCTATCAAAAACTAATGCTGTAAATCCTCTATTCTTTGCTCTGTAGAGCTGTCCTCTATACCCTGCTGAATTCTCTCTGTTAACAAAGCTGAAATGCAGTTTATGGATTTAGGAAAAGATCTAAGGTATTATGCCAGTAAATATCATTCAAATAGCATAGGCATGTGTGAGAGATGAAAATATGTTTGACTTTTGAGTGGGGAAAGAACAAACTGTTAAAAATTGTGGAAGCACTGTCTGTGCTTGTTTTTAAGGTGTAAGAAGATGGTTCCAGCATCTAAGAGATACACAATACATCGCTCCTCCAACGTGCTCACAATCTCCCTGAAAAGATTTGCAAACTTTACAGGTGGAAAGATCAACAAGGTATATTGACAGCTGTCATGCTGCTTTATCTGCTTGGAGTAGGACATTTCCCAAAGATGTAAAAACTTGTTGATGTTTTCAGGCAGTAACTATAGTGTAAGAAAAGTCAATAACTATGGCTTTATCTTTCTTCTTTAATGGTGATAAAGTTTGTGTGCCCGTAAGAATATACCTCACTCTTAAAGAGCTAATCCTGTAGAAAATAGTCCCCTGTAAGTTAAATTATTGACTGTTGTTTATGAGAATAAGTATTTTTAAATGAATTGAAAAATAGATTCATATAATCTTAGTCTGTGTTTTTAGAAGTTGGGTTTTTTTCTGAAAAAAAATACTTCCATGAAGTATTGCAGGCTAATTTTTCAATCTTCTTTGTTTTTGTTTAGGATGTAAAATATCCTGAATATTTGGATCTCCGACCATATATGTCCCAGTCCATTGGGGAGCCACTCATCTATGCTTTATATGCAGTTCTTGTTCATAGTGGTTTCAACTGCAATGCTGGACACTATCTCTGCTTCATAAAGGTGAGTGTCAGCTCAGTTTCTGATAGGGGAAAGTCTGTGCTGGCAAAGAAATCAAAATCTAACAGTGTTTTTAGGGGAGAAGATTGCATGATGTGCTTTGTTTGCTCTGTTTTGGTGTGTTTTGTTCTGTAGTGTTCTATGTGTGATGTGCTTTGGGACACGTGCAATCATCTAACTTGATGATCTAACTGTTGTCTTTATTTGCAGGCTGGTAATGGTCTTTGGTATCGAATGAATGATGACTCAGTAGAACTTTCTGATATCAAAACAGTTCTCCATCAGCAAGCTTATGTACTATTTTATATCAGGTAATAACAACCACTAAGTGTGTTCACAGTATTCTTACTATCAAGTTCCTGATGGTTTTCTTATTTTCAAGTCTTTTTCTTTCTGCCCTAGGAAGATAATACTATTTGTGTAACTCAGTTTTGTCTAGTTGGAAATTCCTCATGTTATTTATTATCTTTCATTGCTTGGCCTTAAAGTCCTGCACTTCTGTGCACTCATATGTGTCTGCTCTCTGTAGCTGGCTAAGTCAGAGAGAGCAGAAATTATGGCCATAGGTGGTGTAAGGATGAATTATTGCTCTGAAAAGAATAGTCACTGGAGGAAGACCATTATCTAATTTTCAGTTTGTAGTCTTGGTCCAGTCTTCTCTATACGCCTTCTGTGGCATATAAACTGTTCCTATGAAACTATAGGGTGGAGTTTAATCCAAGGATAGGCTGAAAGAAAAGTTCTAAGCTGAGTGGTTTTTTCCCCCAGGCGCTATGATCTGTCACTCGGAGAACGTGCGTTTTACTTACCGACGCCGTCGTATCCGCGCTCCTTCCTCGGGCAGAGGGGAGCCAACAGCAAGCAGGCTGGATTTATTGGACCACGACTTCCTCCTCATATGATTAAGGTAATTTGTGGGGGAAACATAATGGTACCAAATTGATTGTGGGGTGGGGGTTTTGTTGTTGATTTTTAGCATTATTTTCCCTTCCGCATTGCAGCTTTCCTCACAGCCTTCGTGCTACAGCCATAGTTACTCCAACAGGATAATTTGGATAGTAATAGATAGTAATGGAATTTTAGGGGCTGGAGTGGACCTTTTAAAGATCTAGTTCCATCCCCCTGCCCTTGGCAGGGGCATCTCCCACCAGAGCAGGTTGCTCAAGGCTTCATCCATCCTGGCTTTGAACACTGCCAGGGTTGGGGCAGCCACAGCCTCCCTGGGCAACCTGTGAGTGTTTCACTGCCCTCACAGGGCAAAACTTCTTCATAATATCTAACCTAAATTTCATCTCTTTCAGTCTGTACCCAGTGCCCCTTGAAGGGCGTAATCCTAAATTGTGCAGCCATGCTACTTCATTGCTTTTTCCTTCCAGCTCAGCTTTCTAAAGCACAGAGATCTTTGCTCTTGAGATAGTTTAAGTAGTCTATTAATACTTAAATAATTTAAATTTAAAAAGTAAATATCATCTCTTCTCCACCTTCATCAGTGTTGCTATAGTTGAGACAGTGAAAGCAAATTGTCTTGTTACTGACTACCGGAAGAATTACTTCAGTGTTGTCAGGGAGTGTTTGAACAGGAGAATAAATGTGTTTTGGAATAGCTTTTGTTGTTGCTGTTGGGGTTGATTTCAGAAATGATGATGCTCATTTGGTACCGATAGGCAGTAAGGCGAAGGCAGGAATTGTTGGATTTGCACACTTTGCACACTTGGATTTGCATTTAGATTGGTAGCAGGATGTGTTTCTTCTTAGATGTTGAGGGAATTTGTGGCAATCTTTAGTAGGAGGAATTCATGCTTTATAACTTTCACTAGTGTGTTTGAACATCTCCATCCTGCAATTTGTTTAATTCCAGAGTTCAAGTCGTTTGAATGGAAATGGACCCTTAAAAGAGGATCCCAGTAGTGTTGGTGTTGGTGTAAAAAGGCCTTCAGAGCCACCAGTAGCTTGTGTTCAGAACTGGGCGATTGCCAGGCCTTCAATTACAGACCCGTCAAAAACCCAGAAGATCACTATCAGTATTCACAACAAATTGCCTACACGTCAGACTGTGTCACAGCCTGAGTGTCCTAGCAGTGCTGTGGAGGATGAGGATCTAAGCAAGCCTATTCCTTCATCCACAATCACAAATTCTTCCACAGCAGAGCCTACCTCACACGTGTCTGCAATGTCGGTCGCTGCTAGTGTCTCTAAACAGGAGGTTCCTGATGACATTTTTGTGGAGCCTGCGGTGAATGGAAACCCTAAACTTGGTTCTGATAACATAGTCCCTTACTGTGCAGAATCTTCAGGAAAGTCTGAAGAGTCTAAGGGCTTGTTTAAGAGGAATTGCAACATAATCTCTTCTAATGGACTTTTGCTTGGGAAGGTGGTCCGTACGTTGCATAATTCCCATTCGTCCTGTCAGAGTGCTGAGGAAGAAAGATCTCAGCATGAGCTGCCAAAAATTGATTCCCTAAATGGTGCTATTAGTTTAGATAATGAATATAAAGAAAATGGACTGAAACTTGACGACTCCACTTGCCAAGTCCAACCTGTTAAACCTTCTGAGATTTTCTTTTCTAAAGCAAATGGAGTGCTTGAAACGGTGAGTTGCATCTGTTCATCTGTGCTTCCTCAGCTCTGACGTGGTGGGTGTTCCTGAGCGCTGTCTTGGGAAATCCCAAGGAAATGCGCTGTGCAAATCTCATTCTAACACTGTTATCCCATTAGAATTTGCAGAGCTGAGCTCTGAGAGCATGTCAACAGAAGAGAAGTTCTGCTGAGATGATACTCCATAAAATGCACTGGGGGGAGTGGGATGATGTGTAACTGGGGTAGTGCATGTAACGCAGCGTCATCGTGTTTAACATCCTGTCGTGAAATTTTGCAGTTTTCTACTAAAGGTAGTTGGTTTTTCTGTTTGGTAACTTCTGTGTTTTAATTGCAGAAGCCTAAAGCTTTGTCACCCCATCCTCAAGACCTTGAAGAATCTCTCATGTACAGCCAACTGAACAGCTTGTCAGAGGAAGAAAGGTAAAATGAGTGCACTCTGATTGAAACAAGATCACATACAAGTTTGTCATTATTTTGCTACTGATGCTACAATAGAAAGATTTAAATCAGAATTCCACACTGTACATCTAATATTGCAAACATCAGCACTGGGCACACATTATTCTGGTGCTAAATACAGGCAGATGCCTCCTGCAAAACTTGCATAGGATGTTTTTACATTTTTCTTCCATTTTCTGGAATATTTTTTCTATTTCTCTTCCCGTTTTTTCCATCCTGGGATGAGTGAATGTAAATTCCATCTGCTCTCCCATTTGTGTTTGGTTTTTACTAGTTGGGGGATGAGCAAATAAAGTTGTTTTGGCTGTTGATGTGATTCAGGGCTGCAAGTTGGAGGAGACACGTGATGAGTGTGGGATTTTTAAGGCAATACTTGCAGAATAGAGACGAGAGGAACATGTTCCCTGGGAGCTGATGAAGGCGTAGGAATGGGTTTCTTTCAGAGTTTTGCAGTATTCATCTTTTTTTTTTTACTTACGGAGATTTTACTCCTAACATTTATCTTTTAGACGGACTTTTCCAAGTGAAAAATATGTTTTTGTTTTGTGCAGTTCCTCTGGACCTCAGAAATTTTCTGAGGAGGATGGTCTGATGGAAGCTATGATGATAGAAGCACTCTTTGGCTATGAAGAAGCCAGAAAGGGTCCTTCCAACTTTACCTTTCCGGCTGAGAAACCTTTTTCTCAGTCAGACTCTGAAACCATTTTTACCAAAGAAGAAGTTGCTGAAAGTATTGTAACAAAAGCTGATAATGCACATCTCAATATCAATGGTCAGCACAAGGTCAGGAAAAAATCCTTGGACATCGAAGATGAATTCCTTGGGCAGTGTGAGTCGGAAGACATCAGAGACAAAGACAAACCAAGAAGATCAAAAGAACCTGAACTCATTTCAAAAGAAAATCCTTTGTACATCAAAGGGCCTCCTGAGAGTGAAGAGAAATTAGGGCAAACATCCTCTGTAAAGCCTGACATTGAATGTAGTTCTAAAAAACTTGGATCTCTGGATATTGCAGATAAATGCCAAGATGCAAAGAACATTTCTAATACCTATGTGGAGGTACCACCTGTCAATGACTTTTGTATTATAAAGCTGGATAAAGTATTAGAAAGTCAATTTTCTAGAGCAGATGAGAGACTGAGTAATAAAATACGTGAAGAAGATAAATATATGAGAAAAAGTAAGATAAAAACGCATGACTCTAAAAGATCTGACAAAGAGCACTACCGACGGAAGAGAGAAAGCTCAGACTCTGAGGAGAAGGAGAGGCAAAGCAGAACCAAAACAGATGATCATTCCCACAGGAGGAGGAGGTCTCGCAGCGTGGAAACAAACAAGCAAAATCATCACAAACGGGAATATTGCAGTGAGCGCAGGTACAGATCTTCCCATCATGACAGGAACAGCCCAAGCCATGGCAGAAGCTCAGGGAAATATTATCGTCGTTATAGATCCCGAAGCAGAGAAAGGACAGACCAAGACAGGAATAGGTATTACTATTCCAGAGGAGAGAGAGCTTGGATTAGAGAAAGATACTACCAAGATGAACCACGGAGACGGGAAAAATGCAGATACTACAGTGATTATTACTCCTCCCATAGAACAAGGGATGGCAGAGAGAGGAAGTCCTCTCATGGTGACAGAGACTATGACAAATTGAGTCAACCCTACTACAGGTCACACAAGGATTATCACTGCAGGAGCAGGTGGGCTCACAGCTCACTCTCCGGAGAGGAGGATGCACATCACTTCAGCAGGCACAGAGCAAACCTACACCACTGTTCAGTACCTCAGCAGCGTTCGGATAAATACTCCCGTGACAGGCATGGACTTCCCCCTGTGCCAGCCCATTCCAATTTTGAGGACTCTTCCAGGGAAAACAGAAAAGACAAACTAACAAATGGGAAAAGAAAATACTCCCACCAAGAAGAAAGTGAAAGTGACATAGAAAAGAAATACCGAAAGATAGACGACCAAAGAATCAGAAAGGATAAGAAGATCAAGAAGAAAAAGAAGTCCAAAGATAGACATCAAGAGAAGGATTACAGGTAAGCAAGGATTCCAGCATATTCAGCAATTTTTTCCCTAATTATTTTCTGGGTATTTCTCATGTCTGCCTCCTTTTTTTTCATTGTTTCTACGTCATTTCTCTAGCCTGATGTGACAGGGGATCATGTTATTAGGTTGGCCAAGTGAAGATGGGAAAGAGATTGCTGAATTGTCTTAGAACACTAGAGCTGGACAATGTAGTTAGAGTAACATCTGCACATCCTTCTTGATTGGTTACAGTTTTAATTGCTTTTAACTCCCCATACTCCACAATAGCCCCTGTTAAAGATTTGTGTACAAACCAGTTGCCCTTCATCCTGAGGGCTTGATTGCTTCATCTAAAGTAAATTAGATGTGCAGAAATGCCCACAAAAGAGCAGACACTCTGCAAATCGTCACCTGTGGTAAAATAAGTAACTTTCCATACATACAGCAAGTGCCACATCTGTTTTCCTGTCTTTAACTTGTATATTTCCTTCAGACTGAGTGATTCGGATTGCTCTGGGCTCCACCTGGACAGTGACAATCACAAACAGAAGAAAAAGAAGAAAAAGAAGAGGCATGGGAGGAAACTGAAAGCCTTATTGGAATATTTAGATCCTCGTTTCCAGAAGAGGACATGGAAGACGAAGGAAGAATCCCGTACTCCAGATGATCATTCATCTGAGGAATACACAGATCAGGACAGCAAACAGCCCTGCAAGGAAGAAAAGAATTATGCTGCAGGAGACAGCAAGAAATACAGCTCCAGCTCAGCCGAGGAGTGTGGCAGAGGTAAGGGACCCCAGGATGTTTGCAGGACTCCTTTTGATTCATAGCAACCTTTAATGCTTGTGTGCTGAAATCTCTGGTTTGTATCTTGGCTTCCAAACCAGATCGGGGTGGGGTTGGAAGTAGATGATCTTTAAGGTCCCTTCCAACCCAGGCCATTCTGTGACTGAAATGAAATGCTATGTTCAGTTATTCCATAGCATAGACACAGTGCTAATTGTATGTTCAGAGGGACAGAAGTTGGTCCTTGGCCCAAGGACAGTTGTTGTCAGCCCCCAAGAGGACACTTAACACCTGGAGAGTGTGTGAATTCCCTGCTGTTGTTGGATTTGGTTGTGGTGTTTGTTAGTATGGGCTTAAAACCACATACAAGTGGGTGATGAAATACCTTTCCCAGTTCTTGATATTTTAAAAAGTCTGTCTGGTGCTTCTTAGAAAAAAACTGAACACAAACTTGAGTGCCTGACTGAATTTACACAGAACTCTCAGCTGCTGCTTGTCATAATCCTGACTCAGGCTCTCAGCAGATAGATGAATTAGCTCCAGAATTATGCCATGAAGGAGACTGCACACTGCAACACATTCAGCACCTAAAATCACATCTGACATTTCCCATGATTATTTTTTTTCTGAACAGAAGTATTTATTGTGGAAATAAAACCTTAAATGCCTATTATCTGACATAAACCGGTTCTGTTACTTATGTAGTTTAATAAATACCAGTCCCCCAACAATCTATTTCACTCATAGATAACTGGAGTAATCTCTGAAGAAGACAGATCAGTATCCAACAGCAAGTTTTAGTGTTAAATTTTCTGCATTTTATACCTTCCCACAGTATAAGACTTGTGTTAATGGTCAGTGACAATCCTGTCCATTACTAGGCCAGTGTTGTAAATGTCATTCTGGCATAGAAAACAGAAGTATTCATCTTCCTGCATTACAGCTGAGCCCATTTTGCTGTTTGGAGAAGTTTAATCTTGAAAGAGATTTTAATTTTCCAGAATTTCATGTGGTTTCCACATGGAGGTGAATTGCCACAGTCAGTAGGTTCTTCAGCTGGGAGGGAAGGTTGCTCAAGGCACAGAGGAGATGCATTTGTGGAAAGCTGATTGTTTTTTAGGGCACAGACAAGCCAAAGTTTTATTCTGGAAATAGTGTGGAGGCAAAGCTGAGTGTTCACCCATTGTTCTCCAACAAGGGAAGTTTAGGAAGGACTGGATTGAGGTCTTTCACTACTAATGTTGTAAAAATAGACTTTATGATCCTGATGTCAAAATAACTCTAATTGCACCAAAAGTGTCTCTGTTCTGGCTGATAAATCAGGAACTAACCAGAAGAAAATGCATCTGCTCAGCACTGGTTTGGCTGTAGCGAGTTCTCTGCCAGCAGATGGCAAACTCGGTGTTTTCCAAACCGGGCAGAGATCTAGGGAGGAGAGAAACGTTTGGCATCTCATTGCACAGGGCTGTGGGGGTGAGAGGCTGACACACTGCTTGGAACGAGTGGAAAATGAGGGCAGGGAAAACCAATTCTAAGGCTTGAGAATTTCGGTATTCCATCAAGTCCATGGTTGTCAATGAGCTTCCCCTTGTGGAAGGTCCATGTTTTTTTACAACAAATGGCTCTCAAGGAGGATGCTCTGAATGGTGGAATCTCATTTCCCAAGAGAGGCCACTTTGCAGTGTTTTGAGAGAGTGTTGAACCTCTCAGACAAGGTAGGGACAAGCAAGGGAGCACTGAAGGAATTGCGAGGTTGTGCCTGTTCACCAGGTTTCACGTTACTTTGATTAGCTGTTTTCATCCTTAGGAGTTTAGTGATAGCTTGTGATTTAAGAAAAATGCATAGAGGATGGGAGAAGGAGCAGCTTTAAAGCAATTATTTCCTACATTGCTACATGTTCTCTCCAGCGAGTTTTTGAAGGCTCTGTGTTTGTGGGTGAGGTCTGCTCAGCCTGACCACAGACTGTTAGTAAACCAGTGATGCTGTCTAGGCAAATCTGGACTAAATTTGATTCACCTAAGGTCTGCCATTTGCTACTAAAGCAGCTCTGGCCTAATGCTGTGTACAGTTCTCCAGTCTTGGCCTGGAACTGAAATGGGGTCAGTCTGTGAGGAAGTTGGATGCTGTAGCCACAGAGCAGATGGAGCTGTGGGAGGTTTGAGCCTTCTCTTTTCAAAATAAGCCACTGAGACAGAGTTTTATGTTTAATGTCACAATGGACTGACCTTGCTTCCTCTTGTCTTTCAGATGCAGAGCTGACTGATGAAAGCCTTCAATACTCAGACTAAACCTACCATTGAACCCAATGACATCTACATCAAACCCAACAACCTCTTACCTTCAAACCCAACGACTCTACGATCACAAACTATGACCTTACCATCAAACCTGACTTCATACCTTCAAACCTGACTTCTTACCATCAAACCTGACTTTTGACCTTCAAACCTGACATTACCAATATTGACCATCAAAACTCAAAATCTATTATCAAACCAATTACCATCAAGACAAACATCCCATCATAAGTGGTGCTTAACATTTCTGTACAGAATTTTACCATATGAGAACTTTTTTTAGTTTTTAACTTGAGACTTTGTTTTTTAAAATATACTTCTAATCCAAAAGGGTGACAACTTTTTACAACTGCTGAACATTGTAAATTACCACATAAATATCTCACTGAGGTGAGATATAATGCCCTGGAATAGACCATCTCAAATGCTGCTTAATTACAGACTCAGGTTGACTTTATGTTATTCATGTAATGTTACGCCGAGTTAAGACATCTGGTGCAAGAGCGACCAGGAAGTATGGAAATTGCAACTGACAGTCTGTATATTTAATTTAAAGACCTATTTAAAACTTCACAGGCTTTGCAAGAGCTTCATCTTTTCTTGCCTGTGGTCTGACACTAGAAACTAATTTACTTCATCGACGAGTTATATTCAAGATCTGAAGAAAATCTTCTGGTTTTCGACATCGCGATACGAATATGCAGTTCTGAATGTATCTCTGAAGACAATTTGTATATTGTTCCATACATTCTTACAACATTTTAATATACTGTCATTTGTCTTAAGTCTCAGTTGTCTGTTTTGTCTCTCTAAAGTGTCTAGTTACAGACAAATTCATACTGTGATTTTTATTTTTATTAGTAAATGCTATCAAACTGTGATGCACTTATTATTCACTGGTCCTGCATCAGGAGATGAGTGGGGAACCTGTATTAAATACAGTTCATCTGAATAATCTGTCTGGTTTATACAAGCTGTGTTGTTCAGAGATGTCTAAAGTTTGATCTTTGTTTTTTTAAAGATAAAAAAAAAAGCACTTGCCCCACTGTAAATATATAGCATGTAAAATTTATATAGTATATAAATACAAGCAAAGTTAAAATGGCTTTTTACTGGAGTTTTACTTAAGTTATTGAACATGCACTGTGTCAGGGGAGCTGACAGCTGGCAGTGTGTTGCTGCTGAGGAGTCACATCTTCTTCCAGTGCTAGGGGAGAAGATGCTGAGAAAATTGGGCTCTTGGGACTGCAGCTGCCTAGACAAGAATGCACAAAAGGTTTTCTCCTCTGAACTTACAGGTTTCCCAAGCCAGGCACAGGCTGGAAGCTCAGCTGTAGCTTTTTAGTGTGTGTGACACTAAAAACAACAAACAAAACAAAAAAAGCAAAGTTAATGTTTTACTAAATAAATATTTTGGTACATGGAGAAGACCACAGAGCCAAACCGTAAGTGTTACCTGCATAATGTTCCTATGGCAACAATTATGTGACGTTACATAAAGTAACATGGCAAAGTAACCAACAGACCTCTCCTGTATCTGCCTCTTTTTTCCTCTTGTTCCTCTGGCTCCACGATTTGGGGTCTTGTCCTTTGTCTGATGAGTAACTCTGGTGGTAAGTGTACAAAAGGAGTCTAAGTGTTGGTGGCTGAATCTCCATACAGAGCCCCAAAAGCAACACCTGCCTGACCTGGCTCTGGAGCAGTGCAGAGCTGTGGAGCAGCATCAGCTATTTCTAATTGAGGAAACTATAATTAATCTACTTGAGAGGCAGAGATCCAATCCCCTCCTTTACATTGGACTGGAACTGATAGAAGGGAACTGACGAAATACCTCCTTAATTTAGGGTGGCTCTCGAGGGAAACAGCTCTTAATGGAGTCACACAGAGGTAGCGTATTTTACTGAAACAATCTATTTTGCAGCTGGAGGATTTTCTCCCTGAAAAATTAAACCTGGTAATTCAAATTACTGTGCCTAAAGGTAGGGAGAAAAGGTCTTTTACTTAATCCCTAAAGACTCAGCAAGTGCTGCCCGTGCGTTCCTAGTAAATGAGGAGACACACAATAGTATAGTTTCACACTTTATTTCTGAGAAAACTGGACAGGTTTAAGCAACAGGTCGTAATGATAAATGAAAACATTAATATTGCAGTGGCTTTACATAAGAACATCACATTTTTAATGATGACTGATACAGAGTATTTGTCATGCAAATCACTTGTGTACACCAAGTAATACATATATCAATACATATCTGTACAGTATTTACATCTTATATTTAAACTCTAGCTAGAAACATTTTCAAGAAAATATAGAAATGAAACTGGTAAGCCACAAGTCTTAATTTGTAGCCTTTGGTCTACACCAGACCTAGCTTTTCCAGCAAGCATATCTACATAGATATGTAATAAATCTTAAAAATATGCATTGTTTTTATATAGGAAGCATTATAAATGCTGCTCAGTTTACAAAGGTTCCGTTTTGTACCAGTTTAAAATGGTTCAAAATGTTAAGTGACACAGAGTATTTTGTCAGAATAGTGTAAAATTTAAGTCAGTCCAGCTGAGCTTAACTTTTATGTACAGTTCTCTCCCTTGACTGCACTGGCCCCGTGGCCGTCGTGGCTCTTCCTGGCCCCTGCAGCTGGACAGGGCAATGTCCAAACCAGAGAGCTGAAGAACTGCAAGTTTCAGTGCAACAGGAAGGGAGAAGCTGTTGTCCCCAGAGGACTTTTCCTCAGCATGGCCAAACTGTAACAGATCCTGCTTTAGGGCCACCGAGCAGCCACTCTCAGTAGCTACCCCTGGACTTGCAGCCCCCAATGAAAAAAAAAGGGAAAGGTTGAGAGATTTTTCTTCACCCTCGTGGATAGTACCTGATTTGGCCAAAATTTTCACAAGCCACTTTGTTTTACTGGCCTTCGTGGCCAGTGGAAATTTTGGGCCAGTTTCACTCCCTGTTAATACTGTTACAAAGAACATTTGAAATCAAATATTAACACACACAAGAATGCAATTCCATTAGCTTTGGTAAATTAAATAGATACATTGAGCACCACAAATAGCTGTTTAAGATGTTGCATTTCACTGCTAAGAAATAATATATTTCCTGCTATAATATCCTCAGTTACATGTTACTCTAAATAATTACTTCTGCCAGATATAAGAACTTCAAACTAAATACAGCAAATGAACTCTCAAGGCATTTCCTTCATGCTTCTAGGCAGACATCCTCACCTGGTTAAATAAATACTTTTTTTCAAAGGTGACATTTCAGAAGGGAATTGATACAAAAGTGCTTCATGGCTTAGCAATGCTTTTATGACCTCACATCTCTCCAGAAATACTTCATGTCCTGCCTTTCACCTTTAAGCTCACTAGTACCACTGATTTGGCTTGTTGCTATCTGCATTACAAATCTACTTGTCCAAAGCTAAGACTGATGCAGGCAGTGCTCAAAACCAAAACATGACACTGCAGAATGGAAGACTGGAACAAGTGCTGTCAGCAGCTCTCGTGGTGCTGCTCTGCAAACACAGGACACACAGCCTAAGTCATTTCTATAAAGAGTTTTAACATGTTCCATTAAGCAAAGATCTTCACTGACACTTCTCAAGGATTCTACCTCCTTTGGCTGAGTTTTACTCCCTTGGAAGCACTCGGATTTGAACATTCACCCAAGCAATTCCACACACTCTGGGGGAAAAAATCTAAAGTGTAGAAAAGTTTACTTTGTTCTTTTCCTCTTGGCCTCATTTGCAAACATGCAATAAAGCAAAACACTCAGAGGCTGCCACCCCATGCAAAACAAGGCAAATCAGTCAGTCAAACAGTGAAACACTCTCCCTTACAGTTCAAAGGAGATTTGAAACAGATCAACTTTGTAAGTCTGCACTCTGGGGGAAAAAATCTAAAGTGTAGAAAAGTTTACTTTGTTCTTTTCCTCTTGGCCTCATTTGCAAACATGCAATAAAGCAAAACACTCAGAGGCTGCCACCCCATGCAAAACAAGGCAAATCAGTCAGTCAAACAGTGAAACACTCTCCCTTACAGTTCAAAGGAGATTTGAAACAGATCAACTTTGTAAGTCTGTTGCCAGTG